GGGATCTGTGTAAGCCCCACCCAGCACCGTGCCACGCCGCAGTGCCCCATGTCCCCAGGTGCCACTTACTGCAGCCGACCTCATCGGAGCGGTCAGGGCAGTCGGGTTCCTCGTCACAATGGTAGCTGGCGGGGATGCAGGCACCGCTGACCACGCAGCTGAACTGGTCGGGGCGGCAGGGCATGCCGGGCATCTTGGTGGCTGTGGGAACATCAGCCGTCAGGCAGTGCTGTGCCGCGCGTCCCCACACCCCGTGCCACACTCACGGCAGCCAGTCTCATCTGAGCCATCCCCGCAGTCATTGTCCCCATCGCAGCGCCACAGCTTCAGGGCGCAGTGCCCATTGCGGCACTTGAACTCGTTGGGCTCACAGGGCGACGGGGTGCCTGGGTGTGGAGGGAAGGGGGCTTCAGCGCTTGCAGGGCCACCGCCACCATCCCCGCTCCCCGGCCACTCACCGCAGCCCTCCTCATCGCTGCCATCGGCGCAGTCGCGCTCTCCGTCGCACAGGTAATCGCGGGGCACGCAGCGCCCGTCGGCACAGGGGGTCTCAGCGGGGCGGCAGCCGTGGGGCGGCAGTGGGGGACGGCGGGTGCCAGGGGAGGTGGTGAGCGCCGGGCGGGTGGTGACGGGGGGGCGCGCTGTGCTGGTAAACACGGTGCTGGGGGAGGGCTCGGCACAGCCCTGCTCGTCCGATGCATCGAGGCAGTCGGGCCGGCGGTCGCAGCGGTACTCGCGGGCGATGCATTCACCGCTGCCGCAGGAGAACTCCAGGGGGGTGCAGGGGCGCAGGTGGGGGGTCACTGCGGGGGGAGAACAGCAGTCAGGACAGGGGGTCCCCAAAGTCGGGTGATGCGCGGCCACCGTAGGGCATCGGTGACAAAGAGGGGCTCAAGGCACGCTGGCACGCCGTGCCGTGTGGTGGGGTTATGGGGGTCCCCTGCCCACCCCCCCACTCACCAGCCCCCAGGCGCCGGAACTGGAAGCCGACGGGTGAGGTGACGTAGGAGGCGATGGAGCCGGCGGTCACAACGCTGCGCAGCACGGCGCCGATCTGCGCCTCGTCCCCATTGCCCTCAGAGCCCACATCCAACTCCACAAACACGCTGCCCTCCAGCTCCCTGCGGGCACAGGGTCAGCACCGCCCCACGGCCCCTGCACACCCCCCAACAAAGTGCCCCATGTCCCCTCTATCCCCATATCCCCCAACATCCCACAGCCCCCAAACCTCCCCTGCACCCTGAAACTTTGCATCCTTCCCAAACCACCCTGTTCCCCCAAACCACCCCATCCCCCCATACCTCCCTGTCCCCCAAAACACCTCAAACCCCCAACCACAGCATACCAACAAAACTCCCCTGCATCCCAAAGCTCCCCATCCTTCCCCCAACCACCCCTGCACCCAAAACCCCCCCGCCATCCCCAAGTTTCCCATCCCCCAAAATATCCCTGCACCCAGACACCCCATCACCCCATCCTTCTCTGCACCCCCAACATCTCCATCCCTCCTCCACTCCTCCAGCACCCCAAACCTCCCCATTCATCCCCAAACATCCCCTGCACCTCCCAAGCATCCCACTCCCCAGACCGCCCTGTACCCGCAAAGCTCCCCTGCAACCGAAATATCCCCCAAACTTTCCCCTCCCCCAGGCTCCCCCTATGACCCACTCACTTGATGAACACCACGCTAACCATCTGCTCCCCAGGGATCTTGTAATACTCTGACTCCAGCTGATTTGGGAAGAGATAAGGAGTCACGGCATGCCCACCTGGATCCCCCCCAACCCCACAGGCCCCCAGTCCCTCACCGTGTCCACCACAGCCTGGGACACCTCACGGAACTCCTCCGAGTTGGGGTCCTCCAGGTGGGGGCTGAAGTCGATGCTGTGGGTGAAGTTCACCAGTGCCCGGAAATAAACTGCGGGAGGAGTGCAGAAAGGGGGGGGGTCGGCACCCCAAAAACACCATCTCTTGGCAACCCCAGCACCAGCCTCCCCGCCCCCATAGGAAAGAGTGAGAGTCCTCAGAGTGCCACTTACTGATTGGGGGGTCATCCTCGGGCTCGGCCACCACCATGCCCGCCGGGGGGGGCACGGCCGCTGCCGCCGAGGGGAGGAGGAGAGGAGGAAGGAAAGCGGACAGGATGGAGAACAGACAGAGCGTGAGCGCAGAGCAGTGTGGCGGTGTCACCCAATGGTGTCACCTGGCGGCGTCTCCTTACCGGTGGGTGCCAACACCACGCTAGGCACCGGGGGCCCCCCGGCCACCAGCGCCACATCGCCGCTGCTGAGCTCCCCGCTGCCATCTGCAAAAAGGGACACGGTGAGCAGTTGGAGGACATATATCCCCCCCCCTCAGGTGCCACCTGGTGCCACATTACCTGCAGACGCTTCATCCGCCAGCAGGTCCTCATCATCGGAGAGCTGTGCGTAGTAGCGCCGGCGCCACGTGCTGCCCACATGGTCGGCCACCGTGTCCTCGGGGAAGGAGCTCTCGGCCCGGACCCCGGCGGCTTGGCACACCTGTGGGGGTCACAGCCATCACCGCAGGGCCACGTCACTGGGCTCCCCCCGCTGCCGGCTGGGCCACATAGCTGTGTGCTGCAGTCACGGCGGGTGATGGAGGGGGGCTGTGTGTGTGTGTGTGTGTGTGTGCAGGGTGGGGGGATGAGCTCATCGCCCCCCCGGCTCCGCTCGCCGCCCACCACCGCATTCCTGCACCCGGCACCGCCACGCGGGGCTGCACACAGCACATCGTGTGTGTGTGTGTGTGTGTGTGTGTGTGTGTGTGTGTGTGTGCACTGCAGCGTGCCATCACGTTGCACGGGCAGCGGCACCCAGCATGGCGCCGGGGGGCAGCGAGGGCCGGACCCCCCCGCAGGCTGGCCGGGAGGAATCCGTTGGGGCAGCACTTTGCTGTGCAAACAAGAGCGGGTGGATTAAGCGGGCACTTTGCACGGGGCCCGGGGGGGGGGGGGGGGGGGGGGGGGGGGAGATTTACCCTTACAATGGGTGTGAATGGCCCCCCTACTCCTCTGCATGGCACAGACGGTGGCACCCCAAAATAACCCGGCAGTGGGGGGGGGAATGCTGCTGGGTGGGGAGGGCTGCAGCCGGGGAAACTGAGGCATGAGGCTGCGCTGAGCTGTGGGTGCTCTGCTGCTGCTCCCCGTGCCCGCACCTAGTTGGGGTGCTGCCTTGCCATGCATGCACTGAGCTGTGGGTGCTCTGCAGCCGCTCCCCATGCACGCACCGATTTGGGGCTCTGCTGCATTGGTGCGCACAGAACTGTGGCCACTCTTCCCCCACGAGTGGGAGCCGCTCTCCCCCCACCCCGCACCCCCGCCCCACCCCAGCTGTCCGGCGGCGGGTCCAGACGCCAGCAGGGCGCGGAGGGGGGGCTGGGGGGGGGCCGTGTCCCCTCTCGGGTTTCCGGAAGCGGGTCGGGCTCACGCCCGGCCGGACACCGCCGCTCACATTTTCCATCTGCCGTCCCACAATCCTGCCCGGAGCCGCGGCCGGGCCTGGGGGAGCAGGAGAGGAGGAAGAGGAGGAGGAGGAAGCACCACCCCGCTGTCACGTCCGCCGGCGCCACGTGCGGCTCCGCTCGACGCCCCGAAGCGGGGAGGGCCCCCCCACCCCCACCCCCCAGCCGGGCTCTCCACGCCCGGCGAGGAAGAGGAGGAAGCGGGGGGTGACGCAGCACAGGAAGGCCGGGCCCGGAGGGGCCGGGAATAATAACCGGGGGGGGGGGGGGGGGGAGTAATAGCCGCCCCCCCCCCGCCCCATTGTTTCCCCAAGGCCAAGAGGTGGTGTTCCCCCCCGCCCCCCCGTCCCGCTTCCTCCCGAGGACCGAGGGAGGGGGGGGGGCACAGCTGGACGGGACCCCCCTGGGGGGCCAACAGCTGCGTGACCCCCCCTGCTCCCCCCTGCGATATGGGGGCGAAACAGCTGCGGGTGGGAGCGTTCGGCCGGGGACACGGGGGGGTAACGGAGTGGGGGGGGGGGACGACAAGGGGGGGCACATTCCTCCCCGCTCGGCATTGCCTAATTTATCCCGATTCGGGCCCCCCCGCCCCGCGCGGCCCGTCCGGGCCTTCTTTGGCCATATGAACGGACCCCCCCGTGTGCCCCCCCCATCCCCACGGGGGGGGGCCGTGCCAGCATGGCCCCGAGCAGAAAGGATCTCTGTTCTCCGCCCCGGGCACAGTCCCAGCCCCACAGCTCCCCCCCAACACACACAGACACGGGGGGGGAGGACCACAGCGCCTTAACGCTCCCCCCACCCGACGGGACCCCCCCACAGCGCCCCCAGGGCGTATTTCGGGAGCGCTATTTTTGCATTCCTCCGTCACCCGGTAAATATAGAGCGGGTGCGACTTAAGAGAGGGGGCAGCGCCCCAAAAGCAGCGAGACCCCCCCCCCCACCGCGGGGTCACGTGGGGACGACGCGAGACCCCCATTCCTAAACGGGACGGGACCCCGCGGGGACCCCACCTCCTCCTCGGGTCCGCGCCGCTCCCGGCCCACGCGGGACTCCATCCCCCCCCACACCTCATCCCGGACTCCAACCGCTGGACGGGACGCGGCTCGGTGCCCCCCCCCTCCCGGTGCCGCCCCCAGACTCACTCCGAGCGCCGCGAGCAGCAGCAGCGCCGCGGGCACCGGCCGCCCCATCGTCCCGCTCCGCTCCGGCCCCGCTCCGCGCCCCGGCCCCGCTCCGCCCCGCCGCGCTGTGCCTCTGGGCGGAGCCGCCGGGAAACGCGCCCACGGGGGAACGGGGAGCGGGATGGGGGCGTGGGGTCAGAGAGCCGGGGCCGCGTGGGGACACCCGGCCGTACCGACACGGGGCTGCGCGGGGACGCGGGGCTGCGCGGGGGCACTCGGGGGCATTGGGAGCGCGGTGTGGGGTGCTGGGGCTGTGGGGGTACCGGGCGGAGCGGGAGCTGTGGGGGTGCGGGGAGCGTAGGGGCTGTGGGATCGTGCGGGGGACACGGGGGGCTGCAGGGGGGCACGTTGGGGAGATGGGGCTGCGGGGTGCAGCGCGGGGCTGCGCGGGGCTGTGGCGGCACCCGCACCCGCCCGGCAGGGCACCGCAGGCCGCGTGCCCCCCCCCAAGGCTGGGTGTTAATGGTTAACCCCGGCCCCACACCTGCACGGCTCCCATGGGGCAGCACCCCGCTGTGCCCTCTGCGGGGCGCTGGGTCGCCGCCCCATCCCCCAGCGCTGTGCACGTAGGGGGGGCTCGCGGCCCCGACTGCACAGGGCCGCCCCGGGCCGTGCAGAGCCCAGCTGGGCACCGGCTGCCCGCTCCCAGGGTTGGCCTTGGGCCGGGGAGGGGCTCTGATAAGGGGGGGATTTAAGGCTGGCGGGCGCCCCGTGCCACCTGGCTGAGCCCTGAGCACAATGCTGGCGCTCCTCGTCCCCCTGCTGCTGCTGGCTGGCGGTAAGCTGTCCCCAAACCCGCTGTTGTCCCCACTTTGGGGGGTCCGGGTGACCCCCTGGGTGACGGTCACCCCATTGTGCAGGCTGCCACGCTGCTGTGCTGCCCGGTGGGTCACGGGTTGTGAATGGGCAGGATGCGGTGCCGTACAGCTGGCCATGGCAGGTGAGCAACATGGGTTGGTTTGGGTTGGGGTTGAGGTTTTGGGGTTAGGTTTGGAGTTGGGTTAGGGTTAAGATTGGGGTTAGGGTTGAGGTTGGGGTTGGGGTTAAGTTTAGGACCGGGGGTTATGGTTAAGGTTAGGGTTGGGATTAGGGTTAGGGTTGGAATTATAATTGTAGTTAGAGTTAGGGTTGAAGTTGAGGTTGAGGTTGGGGTTGAGGTGAGCATTAGGATTGAGGTTAGAGTTGAAGTTGGGGTTATGATGAAACTAGGGTTGGAGTTGCAGTTATGATGAGGTCCGGGGTTAGAATTAGGCTTACGGCTATGGTTGAGGTTATCATTATGTTTATATTTATGCTTAGGGTTAGGGCTATTGTTGGGGTTAGAGTTGTTCAGGGGACAGGGATGGGGACACTGCGGTGGGTGACACCGCACCGACCCTGTGGCCCCGCAGATCTCACTGCAGTACGAGCGCGATGGCACCTTCCGGCACACCTGTGGGGGAACCCTCATCGCGCCCGACTGGGTGATGACGGCCGCACACTGCATCTCGTGAGCCAGGCACCTGTGGGGTGGGGGCAGGGTGGGCACAGGGATGAGGTGCGGGGATGGGGTGATGCGGTGTTGCTTGGAGGGATGCGCGGTGCAGCATTGAGGTGGTGAGAGTGCAGCAGGGGCAAGGATGGGGGTGGGAGGGATGTGCAGAGGTTTTTCGGGGTGCAGGATGGGCAGCCCCATCCCCTGGGGTCAGTGGCACGGTATCCCTGGGCAGCTCCACGCTCACCTATGAGGTGGTCCTGGGTGAGTACGACATGAGCTCCGCCGAAGGCCCCGAGCAGCGCATCCCCGTGGCAGCCGACGACATCTTTGTGCACCCCAAGTGGAGCAGCTTCTGCGTGGCCTGCGGGTGAGCAGGGCGCGGCGGTGCGGGGATGCTGACCCCACTTGGGGACCTCACCCCAGTGACACGTGTCCCCGCTGATACCTCACCCCGCTGTCCCCATGTGCAGCAATGACATCGCCCTGCTGAAGCTGCGGCGCAATGCTGTGCTCAACGACTACGTGCAGACGGGGCAGCTGCCGCCCGCAGGCACCGTGCTGCCCAATGGCTACCCCTGCTACCTGAGCGGCTGGGGGAGGCTGAGCAGTGAGTGCAAGGACAGAGGGAGGGGCAGGGGTGAAGGGAGGGTATGGGGCATGGAGGGAAGGATGAGGGGTGGAGGGAAGGGTAGGAGGCTGTTTGGGAGGGTGGTGGATGGATGTGGGATGCAGGAATGGATGCGGGAATGGATGGATGGATGGATGGACGGACGGACGGATGGATGGATGGATGGATGGTAGATGGGTGGATGTGGGATGGTTGTGGGGTGGATGTGGGATGGAGAGATAGCCGGCTGTAGGATAGATGGATGGGTTATGGATGGATGAATGAATGGATGGTTGTAGGATGGAGGTAGGATGGTTGGAAAAATGGTTGTTGGATGGGATGAACAGATGGATGGTTGGTTTATGGATGAATGAGGGTTATAGGGATGGATGGGTGGGTGGATGATGGATGCATAGGTAGATGGTACCTTTATGGTAAGGGCGATGAACAACAGAAACAGATTGTCCAGAGAGGTTGTGGAGTCTCCTATGGAGATATTCAAGATCTGTCTGCATGCCAACCTGCGTGACCTATTGTACAGAACCTGCTTTAGCAGGAAGGTTGGACTTGATGATCGCTTGAGGTGCCTTCCAACCCCTGTGATTCTGTGACTCTGTGGGATGGAGTAATGGACATGGGATGGTTGTGGGATGGATGGATGGATGGGTAGATGGCATGGAATGGACGTGGAATACATGTGGATGGCTGTGGGATGGCTGAGGCTGGCGAGTTGTCCACCTGGGTCCCTGACATCACCCCTATTGCCAGCGGGGGGACCATTGCCAGACAAACTCCAGGACGCTCTGATGCCTGTGGTGGACCACGAGCAGTGCACACAGCCCGACTGGTGGGGCAGCCTTGCCATCCGCACCACGATGATCTGTGCCGGCGGCGCTGAGCAGGCCGGCTGCAATGTGAGTGCTGTGCTGCACTGTGCCACGATGAGGGATTGGAGCATCTGAAACCATCCTGACCCCCATCTTGTCCCCAGGGCGACTCGGGCGGCCCCCTGAACTGCCAGGCTGAGGATGGGCACTGGGAGGTGCACGGCATCGCCAGCTTTGTGTCTGCACTGGGCTGCGACACTCCGAAGAAGCCCACTGTCTTCACCCGTGTCTCTGCCTTTGAGGACTGGATTGCTGAGGTGGGCACTGGGTGCTGGGGTGGTGGGGTGCCAGACTGTGGGGATGGCAGAATGCTCAGGGTGTGGTGTACCGGGGTGCCAGGGGCTGGGACACTGGGGTGTTGCAGTGCTGGGGTGTTGGGATGTTGGAATGCTGGAGTGTTGGGGTGTTGGTGTGCTGGAGAATTAGGAAGCTGGGAAGTGGGGTGTTGGGAAACTGGAGTATTGGGGTGCTGGGACACTGGGATGTTGGGATGCTGGGGTGTTGGGACACTGGGATGTTGGGATGCTGGGGTATTGGGATGTTGGGATATTGTAGTGTTAGGATATTGTGGTGCTGGTTGTTGGGGTGCTGAGATGTTGAAATGCTGGGTTGCTGGGACACTGGTATGTCAGAGTAGCAGAGTGTCAAGCTGTCAGGGTGTTGGGGTTCCAGTGTGCTGGGACACTGGGGTGTCAGAGTGCCCCACTATCAGGCTCAGGGATGCCGGGGTGCCGAGCTCCCCCTGAACCACTTCTCTTTCCCAGACCATAGCGAACAACAGCTGAGCAGGGCAGCAGCGACCCCCGTGCTTCACAGCATGCAAATAAACCCACAGAGCTGACCCCGTGTGTCCCGTGTGCTGGGGGAAGGGGGGTGCATGCACCTGGTGAGAGTGGCTGCATTGCCAGCAGATGGCACTGGCAGAGCGGGCACAGGCAGCACGGCAGCACCGTAGGGATGGGCACACAGAGATGCCTTGCACTACGGGAAGGATCTCCTCACGGTGCCGTGAGGTGCTGTAGGAATGGGCACCTGGAGACATCCAGATATCAGAGGGATGGACACGAGGTGCTCTGATGTCACAGGGATGGGCTCCAACCTTCACCCAACGGCACCTGAGGCCATGGGGGTGTTTCTCCCAAAAGGTGCCACGGGGACGGGCACCCGACACCTGGGCCCTATGGAAGAAGCGCCCCGAGGTGCCCTGATGCTGCGGGGAGGGGACACCTCTGAGTGCCCTGTTCTGGTCACACGGCATGGCAGCAGCTCCGTGCCCAGCTCTCGCCTGCCGCCTCCTGCCCTCCCGGCCCGGCCGTCTCCTCGCAACCACCGTCCGCAGCGCGTGACCGGGAACAAAGGGCCTTTTGATGGCGCCCGGCACGCATGGGGCCCCCGCTCCCCCCGTCCCATCCCATCCCTTTGGGAGCCCCACATCCCTGCAGGGACGGGGCCACCCTGAGCCGGATGGAAAATCCCCATCACGTCCCACTGCAGGCGCAGGGCTGCAGGGTTTTATGGGCCTCTGTGACCGTGAGGGGGACCTTTGCTCCCCGGGGGGGCCCTTTGCTCTGGCTGTTGAGGCCAGCTCAGCTCGTGACACCCTTGTGCAAGCGGTGCCGCCTGCATGAGGCTGGGACAGGTGGGTGGGCCGGGCAATATGCAGCTGGCATGGGTGCTATGAGCCTGGCATGGGTGCTGCACGACTGACGTGAGTGCTGCAAGAGTGATACGGGTGCTGCAAGGCTGCTACGGGTGGTGCGAGATTCTACAAGGCTGTATGGGTGCTCTGAGCCTGGCATGGGTGGTGCAACCTTGGCATGGGTGCTGAGAGCCTGGCAAGGGCAGTGTGGGGCTGGCACACGCACCACAAGCCTGGCTTGGGAACTTTGATCCTGGCACAGGCGCTGCAGGGGCTGGCACGGCTCCTGCAAGGCTGGCATGGACACCGTGAGCCTGGCACGGGCACGTGGCCATGCAGCCCCGGGCAGCTCCTCCCTCGCCGTGGTGCCAGCCGCCTCCAAAACCCCCGTGTGTCCTCTGGCCGGACCCACCCCCACGGGTGACTCAGCCCGTTCCCAGCAAAGCCCATCCCTATATAACACGGTGTCACCGTCGCACACACAGCGCCCGCCTGGCCGCTGCCTCAGTTTCCCCGTGCCGCAGCCATGTGGATGGTGTCACCGCCGGTCGGTAAGTCCCGCTTTGACGCCCCAACGTCCCCCAGCCCAGCGCAAGGCTTCCTGTCAGAAAACAGCCTGTTTGGGTGTTTTGGGGTTTCCTGGTGGATGTTGGCTGGGTGAGGTTTGCAGACGTGGGGTGGTTCAGGGTGACGGCGCAGAGCGGCTCTGTGTGGCTGGGTGCACCGCGGCGCTGTGAACCAGGGATGGAGAGAAGTGAGACCTGAGCCTGCTCCACCTTTGTGCGAACCTGCCCCGGAACTCCCTGTTCTGAGCAGGTGCCCCTAACGCACATGGGGTCAATGTGGAAAGAGCCAAATCCATGTATTTTTCCCCCAGAAACAGTAATAAAAAGCACTGCCAGCAGTGGAGCTGAACCTCATTCTTTCTCCCCGTATCTCTGTGCCTTTGGGACTGGGAATGCCAGGACTGGGCACGGCGCTGCATGGCATTGTGATGCTGCAGAACCCAGACTGGGCACTGCTTCGCTTCGGACCTACAGCCACTTCGGTCAGACCCCAAAGTGCTGCCTTTTGCCCATTTTTCCCCTCCCCAGCACGGGGAGAGCCCAGACACAAAGAGCGCTCGGCCTTGAGGGGGGCACGGTGTGACACGTGGGCAGAGTGCCCCAAAAACGCCGTTTCTTGCAGAAAAACGGGGCTGGAGGTGAAAACCTCCCCATGCCTACCTCCTCAGGGTGTTTTTCCATGCACACCTGCCCGGCCCCAAACCGCAGCGGCGTGGCCTGGGGTGGGGTGGCCAAAGGTCAGTGGCAGCAGCACCCCCACCCCGCTCAGAAAAGAGGAATATTTGGAATATTTCCTTCCTGCAGGAGGGAGCGCGGGGACCCGGCCGTGCCGGGGCGGCGGGGGGGAGCGGTTGTGGCTCTTGTTGTGCTCTGACGTGCTGTTTTCTTTCAGATGAAGGATCTCACCAGCTTGCCTGGCTTTGGGACCACGGCAAAGGCAGGGTGCAAAACACACTAGTAGGACATGACCCTTAACACTTTCTCTAAAGCGTAGCCCTATAGGTATATAAGATCAATAGAGCTTAACACTGGGGTTGGCTTTTATTCTGAGCTTGGGTTTGGCTTTTTTTGTCTGTTTGGTTGGTTGGTTTTTTTTTGTTTGTTTTTTGTTTTTTGTTCTTTTGTTATTTTGGTAGCGTTTTACTTTCTCCTTCGCCTCCCGCGGGCAGACAGAGGCAGGGGCTTGCAGAGCCTGAATGGTTTGGGGAGAGGTGCAGGAGCATGAGGAGGAGGAGGAGGGGGAAAGCGCTGCGCGAAGGCTCCTGCCCACAACCCTCCGCCGTCCCCTTCCCATCATCGGAGGGGGGCAGAGCACCGACCTGCTACCTCGGGCGCTTAAATAACTCCCAGCCCGGAATCTGTGCCCTTGACGGCGTCTCAATGACTTGCAGGTATCTTCCAGTACACCAAGAAGCTGTTCCTGAGCAGGCCAGTGGGACGGGCACAGGCACTGGAGTTCGTCCGGAAAAATGCGGCCAACGCGCTCTCCATGGCTAACCTGATCGTGGGGCTCTCCTCCATCCTCTGCAGCCTCAACAGGTGGGAAACACAGACCAAGGGGGCAGGTGGGGAAAGCAGTGCGGGGCTGACGCCTCTCCCCCTACAGGCAGTACCACTGCTCCTGCTGGCTGCTCCTGGTGGGCTTCCTGCTTGATTTGGCCGACGGAGCTGTCGCCCGGCAGCTCAACGCCTGCTCAGCGCTGGGTGAGCCCCAGGGCTGGGGATGTATCGGGGGTGCTGACTGCCAGCCGCCCCCTCACCCACTCACCCCCTGCAGGAGCCAAGCTGGATGACTTCGCTGACTTCACGTCCTTCGGGCTGGCCACGGCACTGCTACTGCAGCCACGCGGGGTGCTGGACGGGCTGCTGGCCATCGCCTATGTGCTGGCTGTCTTTGCCCGCCTCTGCTTCTTCTCCAGCGGTAAGGTTCGGGGCTCACAGGGTTGGGCACCCCGCCGGGCTCCCGGCTGAGCACATGGCACCCCGCAGGGATCCCCTTCACCTACCGGGGCTTGCCGTGCCCCTACGCTTCCTCGCTGCTGGCCAGCACCTTCCTGCTGACGGGCGGCCACGTCATGCTGCTGCGTGTCACCGCCATCGCCATGGTCCTCTTCATGGTTGACCGCGGCTTCTACCCCCATGACAAGGTGCTGGAATCGCAGTGCTGGAAGAAAGTGATCTATGCCGGAGGTAAGGAGCGGAGGTAAAACACATCCCGCTTTCACAGAGGGTGCTCAGCCATCCCATGGAGCAGCGACCCAGGGAGGCATGGGCGCACCGCTGTGCCCTCGATGCTGACGGTTCCCCCCTGCAGGCATTGTGGCCGTCCTGTTCTCGCCCACAACAGTCGCTCCCATCTACTACCTCACCTGGTCGGCGTCATACATCTTACTCCCCTTCGCCATCTGGAGCTGCAAAGCCTAATAGCCAAGCAGCAGCAGCCCCGGCGAGGACCACTCTGCCTTAACCTCCACCGCACGCGTAGTAAAGCTCTCCTCTGCCTCACTCTCGGGTGCCAGCGCCAGGCTGTCTCACCCCCCACCTTCATTAGCTCTTCCCAGGGAGGAGAGCCATGACAGCGGACTCCAAACCCAGCAGGCGCAACGCCATGGCCCCACAGGGCTTCCCACCATGGCAGAGCCTGCCTAGAAAACAGCTGAGCTCCCGCAGAAGGGAACTCTCGGCGCCAGCAGAGCTCAGACCGGGCTCCAACCTGTCCTGCGCACCCATACCCCCAGCCAGAAGAACAACAGCCCTGCACCAGGGCTCGCCCCCCTTCCCGGGGAACCACCCCCAGGTGCCTCCTGCCAGTCCCACCAGCTGGGACATAGATGGAGGTGTGACCAATGCATTACCACTGTACATAGTAATTTATTGCGAGGGCACAGTTGCAGTGGCCTTACGTCCCCCAAATCCTCACCATGAGGAGGAAGCGGCCCCCACAGCAGGCAGTCTGTGGTGGGATGGGAGATGGCCACCCACCACACCTGAGGGTGCCCCATTTCCTTGCAAAGCCCAGCCCTGAGGCACGGAGAGCACTCCGGTATTTATTTCTGACGTGTCACCATAGGGAAATAATATCTGAAGCGTGTTCTTTTTTTCCTTTCTGCGCCCGGTCAATGAGGTGTGAGAGGGAGGAAGGAATGTGGAAGGGAAAAATGGAACCTGAAACCCTGGGGCTGAACTCTCTAGAAATAAAAAAGCTGGAGAACAACTGCGCCGCCTGCTCTGGGAGTGTGGGGTGGGGGAAGGAAGGTCAGACCTCGCCGAGCAGCACAGGAACTGGACCGGCTCCGTCACTCCGCACCTCCAGGGAGATCCTGCAGCTCCAGCAGCTGCAGACGGACAGAACGACCCCGTCGTGGGGCGAGCGGCCCGGAGACCCGCAGTGCTGCCAGCGGGCGGAGGGGCTGCGCAGGGCGGCTGGCGGCCATCGGCTGCAGCTGCTCTGGCACACGGCCCTGCGATCCCGGGGGGCTCGGGCTGGCCTGCTGCGTGCGAGCGGGAGGCGGAGGAAGGAGGAACCACCGCTGCTTTTATTTAGAATAAAGATTTAAAAAAAGCAGAAAATAACAACAAAGAGGCGTTTTCAGGGCGTAAATAGCGAGCTAGGGCTGGGCTGGGCTGGGCCGGGCCGCTCCGTGCTGCTCCGTGCCGCCGTGCTGCCTGCCCTGCGACGGCGCCAGGCCCGGCCCGGCCCTCACTCCCCGCCGGCCTGCATCTGCTTGCAGAAGGCGTCGAACTGCCGCTGCTCCAGTTCCGTCATCACGCGGTTCAGCGCGTAGATCTGCGGGAGGGGCGGGGAGGCACCGCGGTGAGGCGCCGCTCGAGGCCCCGGCTCGGCCCGCCCCGGCTCGGCCCGCCCGGCTCACCTCCGCGCGCTGCCGCTGCTTCAGCTCCTGCTGGGCCGACCTCTGCTTGGCCTTCTCCAGGCGCGCCGCCGGCTCCCGGCCCTTCGGCCGCTCCTTCCGCCCCCCGCTCGGCTCCATGGCCGGGCCGGCCGGGCCGCGCCCCGCTACCGGCGGGACGGCGCCCGCTGCAAGATGGCGGCCGGGCTCCGCCACCGCGCATGCGCGACCAGCGAGACCGAGAAGATAGAGCGTGCGCGGTGCCGCAGCGCCCCCTGGCGAGCGGGAGGAGAGCGGCGGGGCGGCCTCCGGCGGCGCTGCCCGCTGTGCCAGCCCTCCGAGTCGCGCAGCCCCACTCATCACCGCGCCCCGCTCATCGCACCTTCTCAGCTGTTTATATTGCACAGCCCTACGCCCCACGCTAGACATCGCGCCCCAAGCCCCCATGTGACAGCCCTACCGCACACCCCCTGCGGGGCACAATTTCTGCCAGCACCGCTGCAGCCACCCTGCACCATCCGCACCCGCAGCCCCCGCACAACACGTGGCACAGGACGGCACGGCGTCCCGCACCCCGCGCAGGGGCTGCACCACAGCCCCTCGGCTCCAAATGCACCTTTTATTGCAGCGGCCGGAGCAGGGCCAGACCCGCGGGGCCGCGTGGAAGCACAGGACGGGGACTCCAGCCGCGCCGTGCCCGGTACCCAAAGTCGGCCGCGCCCCGCGGGCATCAGCGCGGCCCCGTCCCGCCGCCACCCCGCGGGGTCCCGCTAGATGCGGACGGTGTTGATGCGCAGCGGTTGGACGTTCTTCCCGTTGGCGTGGCTCTGCCCGGGGCTGAAGTAGGAGCAGAGCTTCCCGGGGAACTTCTCCCGGAAGGTGTAGAGCCAGGACATGTCGTCGGCGTTGTAGAAGATGAGCAGCCCCTTGTCGTAGTCCAGGAAGACGCCCACCTTCTCCAGCTTGCTCTTGACGTTGAGCCGTGTCCAGGGCTCGGTGCAGGCGCTGTACTGGTTCCCGTCGTGCATGACGATGCAGTAGAAGCCACGGCTGGGCTGGATCTGGATGCTGCCCTTGCGGGTGACAGCCTCGTGCGCCAACCCGATCATCCACTGCGTCTTCTCAGACACCACCACCTCCCAGTAGTGCACGCCGCCGCCGAACGCCTGCGTGCCCAGCACCGACACCTCCACGTCGAAGCGGCGCGGCGAGTCCTGCAGCGGCTGCGGGTGCAGGTTGCCGTAGGCCACGATGGTGCAGTCGTCGGAGAGGATGAGGCGCTGGTGGGCCGTGCCGGGGTCCAGCGTCAGCGCCGCGGGCACTGCGGAACGGCGGGCGTCAGCACCCCCAGGCACGGGGGGCACGGGGACCCCCTCCCACCTCTCCGCCGGCCTCACGCTCACCCGGGTGGATGTCCTGGAAGAGCGACTTCCAGATGGTGTACTGCAGCGGCCCCATGTACTTGGAGGTGGGGAAGTCCTCGTAGGTCAGGTTGGTCTCATGGATCTTCCCCTTCAGCCTGCAGGAGGGGCAGCAATGGGCACGGAGCTCCGCGGGCACCCCCCGCCCCCCTGGCGCCCACCCACCTCTCGGACAGGGACGCGACGCCGGCCAGGAAGGCGTGCTTGTCAGCCTCGGCCAGGCGCTCCTGCAGGATCTGGCTGCCCTCCTGCACCTTGCGCAGCTGCTGGCTGTAGCGCTGGATCTTCTGCTCGATGTCGGTCAGCGTCCGTGCCGTGTCGGCCTCCAGCTCCTCCAGCATCGCCTTCTGCCGCTCCCGCAGCAGCCGGTGCAGCCGCTCAAAGGCCTCCCCGATGGTGGCCCGCAGGCTTTTGGCCGATGACTGAGGAGGTGGGGGGCACGGCCGGGCCGCAGCGGGTCTGTCAGCATCCCGGCAGAGTGCGTGGGGAAGGGGCAAGGGAAGGGATTCGGGGCACGTCCCCGCAGCCTCGCTCCTACCTTGGTGTCGGCCAGCTGCCTCTTGAGGAGGTGCAGGGCCTCGGTGTGGCCTCGCTCACTCTCCTGCAGGCCCTGCAGCTGCTCCTTCAGCTCCCGCTGCAACACAGAGCGCTCTGACCCCGTGCTCAGCCCTGGCCTCACCGCACTGCCTGCTTCCCCACCCCACAGCAGCAATGTTCCAAGGGGCGTGCGGAAAATGCAAAGCTTTGTGCCTGCCCCACGCTCAAGCAGTGCTCCCAGCTACCAGCAGTGTGACACTGAGGTGCTGGGAGAGCTGTGAGGCAGTCCCACAGTCCCATAGATATCCATCATGGGGCTAAGCTGGCATTGCAGTGATCAGAGCACGTGGCACAAAGCTGCCCCAATACAGCAGGTTTGGGGATGGGACTTGGTACTGCTGTGGGAGGCAGGGTCCTTGTGTGGGACAGGAGGGAGTCTGGTTTGGGACTGCTTGGGGATCCCCAGGGAGCAGCCCAGCAGAGCCACATGGAGGGACAGACAGATGGACGGATGGGTGGGTGGCCACACAGTGTGGATGGACAGATGGACAGAGGATCGCACTTCACTTGGGGTAGACAAGGGGATTGTATGGGAAGCAGCACCCCAGAGCCATGTGCAAACAGGCAGAGAGAGCTCTGGCTGTCCTGAACGTGGACGGATGGACACTGTGCTGCACAGTGCACACAGATGGACAGACAGAGCATCCCACAGACACGAGGGGGGATGGATGTTCAGGGACAAACAGACAGACGCCCACCTGCAGCTCCTCGAAGGCATCATCCACGTTGGTGACCTGGTGCTGCTCGTGCATGGCTGGCTCGTCACAGAAGAAGCAGACAACAGTGCGGTCGGTGAGGCAGAAGAGCTTCACCTTCTCGTGGTCCTTGCAGGGGAAGGGGCTGCGCTGAGCCCCCAGGATGGCATCCAAGGGGAAGGCGCTGTAGCGCTCCACGATGTTGGCCAGCTTCAGGCTGGGGGCCAGCGTGGGCTCGGTGAAGGTGCGGCGGCACTCGGGGCAGTCGCGGGCACCCTGCGGCTCCTGGCGCACCCAATGCTCTGTGATGCAGCGGCGGCAGAAGTAGTGCTCACAGCCGAAGCTCACTGGGTCCTGGTAGATGCTGAGGCAGATGGAGCACAGCAGCTCATCTTTCAGGCTGCAGGCCATGACCGGGGCTGCAGGGGGACGGTTGGGCTGCAAAAAGGGGGGTTGATGGGGTGAGAGTGCTGCAAACGGGGGCAGGATGAGAATGGGAGGCTGCAGTGGGGCTGTAATGGGGGGGCCGGGGGTGAGACTGCAATAGGGGGATCGGATTGGTAAGGGGGGGGGGGCAGGGTGATATGAGGGGGCTAAGGGTCAGGATGTAATAGGGGGACTGAGGATGAGGGGATATGGGGGCTGGGGGTCAGCGTGATGGGGGGGCTAAAGTAGACGTGGGTGATGCTGGGGGTCAGAGGAATATGGGGAGGACTGAGGTTGGCATTGGAGATTCTGGGGGTCAAGCTGATAAGGGGGGCTGAGGGTCAGGGTGATATGGGGGGGCTGAAACTGTTGAGGGTGATGCTGGGGGACAGAAGAATGTGAGGGTGGGGAGCAGGGGGATATGAGGGGATTGAGGATGGTAATGGGGATGCCAGGGGTCAGAGGGATATAGGGGGGCTGAGGCTGATGAGGAGGAATGCTGGGGGTCAGGATGGAATAGGTGGGCTGGGCGTCAGGGGCATATGGGAGGGCTGAGGTTGGTACTGGGGACGTTGGAGATCAGGGGGATATGGGTGGGCACGGAGCTGCAATGGTGGGTGAGGAGCAGGGGGCACGGGGGGCGGAGGTTGGCACGGTGGACGCCGGGGCTCGGGCTGCGGTGGGGCCCCGGGCTGCTGCTACCCGCGGGGCTGCAGCGGGGGCACCCAGCGCTGAGGCCGCACCCGGAGGACCCAGGTTCGAATCCTGCCCGGCTCCGCGCCCCGCCGCCCTCAGGACCCGGGTTCGAGGCCTCACCCCGCCGCCGCCGCCGCCGCCGCCGCCGTCCGCCGCCGTCCGCCGTACCCGGGTAAGCGGACCCGCCGCCGCCTCACACACCGCTCCCCGCCGCGCCGGGCGGGGGGTGGGCGAGCAGAAGGGGGCGGGGCCGCGCCGCACTTCCTGCCTTCCCCTCTCCCCCCTCCCCGCAGCCACAGTGGTACCGCCCCGCCCCATTGTCCCCCGCGCGGCGCGGCCCTGCGGCGCGTACCACCGCCCGGCGGGGGGGGCTCTTAAAGGGGCCGCGCCAGATCCTTCTCTCCGCCCGTCCCGACCTTTCTTCCTCCGTGTTATTATCACTGACGAGGGACGGGGGCACGGGGGGGCGCAGGCACAGCGCTGGACGTGAACGGCCGCCTGCATCCCAACAGCGCAGGTGTCACTCCCTAATTCTGCACAGACCCCAAATTCAGTGTTGAGCCCCAATTCAGCATTGTCCTCAAATTCATCATTGTCACCAAATTCATTATTGCCCCCAAGTTCAGCGCTGTCCCTAAACCGAAGCAGTGTTTCCAAACTCTACATCGTCTCCAAATTCAGCACTGTCCCCAAATTGAAGCATTGTCCCCAAAGCATTGTCTCCAAGTTTGGCATCATCCCCAAGCAAACCATTGTCACTAATTTCAGCCTTGCCCCCAAACCAAACCATTGTCTCCAATTCAGCATTGATCTTAAACCAAAACATGATCCCCAAGTTTAGCATCGTCCCCAAACTCAGAGTCATCCCCAAATTCACCATCACTGTCCCCAAGCCAAAGCTCTGTCCCCAAATTCCTTACTGTCCCCAAATTCTGCATCATCCCTAACCTGAATAATTGCCCCCAGGTTCAGCGCCATCCCTGAAATGCAGCGTTATTCCCACATTCTGTAACATTCCCAAACTCCACATCGTTCCAAGATTCTTGTCCCCAAACCGAATCATTGCCCCCAAATTCTTCATCTCCCCCAACATTCAGCATCGTCCCTAAATTGAAGCGTCCCCCAGCAATGATGGAGACCCCCACAGGGACACAATAAGGGGGTTCCCCCTCCTGTGCCCCCCACCCTGTGGGGCTCTGGGTGTGGAAGGAAGGACGGATGGGGACATTTGGGGGCAGCTCACAGCCGCCCCACAGCTGGCTGCAGGCCAAAGCTAACACGGCAGTGCTGAGCCCCCACACCCCCAACGCAGGGAATGACCGCCCGCTTTGTTCCTGCCTGGGCGGGAGGACGGCCCCAAAGGCTGGAAAAGGAGGGGGGAAAAAAAAACCCAGCCACAGGGGTTTGTTATTTCTGCCTGTGTTTTTGCAGGAGGAATGCAGAACTGCTCACCCTGCCAGGACCCACTGGGACAGGAGAGATTTGGAATTAAATCATCAAAGCGCCGGTGTAGCGGGGAAGGGGCAGCCAGGCTGGCATTGTGCCTGCATCGCACCTAACCCCGACCCCAACCTTAACCCCAACCCTAACTCTAACCCAAATCCAAACGGTTACCCAAATCTCAATCCCAACTCTAACCCAAACCCAAATCCTTATCCTAACTTCAACCCTACCACTATCCTCAACCCTAATGCTAACACCAACCCCAGTCCAAAATCAATCCCAACCCTAACCTCAACCCTAATCCTAACCCTGAAACCAAGTCAAATGCAAACCCTTAACCCTACCCTAACCCCAAACCTAACCCTAATCCAAATCCAAACCCTTACCTTATCCCCCAAATCCAATCCTAACCCTCAAACCCAACCCCAACCCCATCCCCAACTTCATCCCCTACTGCACTGACTGGTGTGGGCTGGACCCAGCAGCAGCGCTGTGGGTTTGGGGCTGGATTTGGGTGTCCCATACTTCCCCTGTCCTCTATCTTCCCACGACTCAGTTTCCCCCCCTCAGCACCCAGGGGAGGAACACCCCACTGATGGGCACCACCTGTGTTCCTTCCAAATAAACAGACAGCACTTTGTCCTCAGCTGAGTGGAGTTTGTTTATGGGGTTCATCTTAGGGACATGCCTGGGAAACTGCATCAGTGGGGAACCTGAGTCCACGGGGATATGGGATGCCATAGAGCTGTGGGGTTAGGATTTGTGATATGGTTAGAGTTAGGGTTAAGATGGAGTTAGTGACAGTGTTAATGTGAGGCTCAGGTTGAGTGTTAGGGTTTGGGTTGGGATTGGTTAGGGATAGAGTTGGTCAAGGTTAGGGTTAGCATTCAGCTTATGTTAAGGGTTAGGGTTTAGGGTTGGTTTAGTGTCAGGGTTATGATTTGTGTTAGTCTTAGGGGTTTTGATTTGGGCTTGGGTTACGGCTTGGACTTGAATTAGGTTTAGGCTTAGGGTTATGGTTTAGTTTTGGGTTAGAGTTAGAGTTAGTATTGGGGTTGGGGTTGGGGTTATGGTTTGCCTCATGAGACTGAATGTGTACAAGTCTATGGGGCCGGATGGCGTGCATCCCAGGGTTCTGAAGGAGCTGGCTGAGGTGGTTGTCGAGCCGCTCTCCATCATATTTGAAAAGTCGTGGCTGTCAGGTGTGGTCCCAGATGACTGGAGGAAGGGTCACGT